ATAAATATATCAAGTTCGAAACAAGTAATTTTTGCTTTCTTGAACCTCAAACAACCTATTGACCTAAAATAGAGAATTCACAAAATTTTATGTCAATATATTGTCTTTCTTACAAAGGCAAACTGAACGAGAACTCAAATATCGTCGCAAAGAACATCAAAGCTGCAAATTAAAAATTTCTGAATCGAATTACGGTAAGAAGTTACGTCACTAAGAGTGCCGGTACTTTTCATCGTAAAATAATTTTTTACTGAAACATGTCACTGAACAAAGAAATTTGATAAATTACAATTTTTACAGTAATAATTACAGTAAAAACACTGAATCACTCAAATTACTGTAAAAATTACGATATAATATTTTATGATAAAAATGATTTTATGGTAAACTGTATTTTACGGATAATGCACCCAAAAGATTCGATAGTTTGTACCGTAATTTGATCCAAAATTTTTTACAGTGTACATGAAGAATAAAAAACTCCGCAGCTCATCTGTTGCAAAACACTGCTGGAAATGGTTCGATTTTTTCTCACCTAATATAATTCATAAATGTATTTCATTCTTCGACCTAGATTTTTGGGAGAGTTTCCACATCCTAAAAAACAAAATTTAATTATTAATAATTTTACTACCATCCCATATTTTTTTAAATTTTTTTGTAAATCATATTATTTTCTAATTTTTAGTTTACACTGGTTATGCATTTCTTTTTTACTGTAAGGTTTTGACATACGTCTTTATTGTGACGTAATCTCTGTCGAATTCTGTTTTGCCAACCTTGTCATTTGTTCTGCTGATGAAAGATCACCAACGTAATACAGAAATGCGTATAGGTTTTCAAAAGATTCCACTATTTGTGATTTTTAATCTTCATTTTTAATCAAAATCCAGTTTATCTCAAAGTATTACCCTTGTTATTTGAGGAATATAAGCAGAATTAAATATTTCTTAACTGTTGGAAATCAGAAAAAAATAGTGCGCCTGAAAAATGAAAGGTGAAACAAGGTTTCCAGTAGAAAAGAATGAAATAAAAGATAAGTGAATGGTAAATAAGTTATGTTCAATTGCTGGTAAATAAGTTATGTTCAATAATTGAAGTTAAAGTACCTGATTTCCGTGCATAACTTTCACTTTTTCGAAAGATAAGTAAAAATTAGTTATCATAATATTTTATTAAATTGAGTACATTTCATTAATGTGTTCCAATGTGATGTACTACACAGCTTGTATATAAATTATGGTATTTTACCTAATAAAGAACGGGTTATTGAATCTTAGTATTCTCCCCTGCATTCTTTAACCCTTCCACACATTGTGTGCAAACTTTGATTTTATATTTTTCAAATATTAAAAAATTTTATCAATGATCTTTAAGCAGAATTAAAAAAACTGAATATGAATTATACGGCATTTGTGTCTGGATAAAGTGTGCTTTAAGAATTTATTTTTGGTATAAATCCTTAAAGTTTGCCTTTTTTAAAATTTTTAGAATTTAAAACATTATCACCATCAATTAATACTGTTTGAGTTTAGAAATCGTACGAAAGATCCAAAACTGACGATTGAGCTTGATGTTTACATGCTTTCTATATTTCAGCGAATTATTTAGTTACTTAGTTATACATTAAAGTTTAAGTCTTATGATTCTGTACATTTTATAGGAAGTAAAAATTTCTTATCGAAAATGCTACTGAGAATTCAAAGTATTTTTTTAAAAAAAAAAATTATAAAGTTTTTAAGGATTTTATGACATGCATTAAATTGAAAAAAAAAAAGAGAACCTTTAAAAAAATGAAATGAAATAATTAATTTTAAACATTCTAAAAGAAGGGTTTAATATTACTTTAATAAAAAAGATTATTTTTGTGCACTTTTCAAACCAAATTTAAAAAAAAAAAATATGTTCACTGACTTATTGTCTCTAAGGTGTATTTTGTAATTTTATTTATATACAGTGATCTCTCACTTATGTACCACCTCTTTTATGCACCTTTTTCATTTATACGACGATTTTTATAGGTCCCAGTACATTAGATAGGAAAATAATGATAAACATCCTTCGTTTATGCGTCGCTTTAAAAATAAATTTTTCAATTATGCGCCGAAATTTTTGGCTGGCATTTTAATTTTTTAATCCTTTAAATATTTTTTCTTTTAAAAAAAATGTTTTAAATTGAAAATGAAGCAAATGAGCAATCCTTGTTACAGATAAAAAGAAATATATGTTGTTAGATCCTATTGAATTTGCTTCCCCCTGTGACCTTTTCATTTTTGCTGTTTCTGGAAAGAGATTCTTTCTAAAATTTTGAATAGGGTGAAAATTGAATCTTTTACACCAACAACAATGAAAGCCCATTCATCTTTCAGAAAATGACCAATTCCTCTTGTCCAGAGGTTAGTTTTACCCCCATGCTGTTTTCTAGAAAAAGAAGACACCTGGGATACGAAAGATGAAAGAGACCGCGATCACTTACTTGCAGTCAGATGGACATTATGAGTACATAAAAGGAGGTGATCTGTTTAGTGAGGGAAATACTTGAACAACTTATTGTGCAGCATATTATGACGTCAAGTATTTTTCTTAGAAATTTATCATGTGATATGTTTCACCCCCTCCCATAAAACTCAAATTTTTTGTGAAGAACTGTTCATTTATATCTAACTAAAACTTGTGAATGATGAGAACGTAGTGGATGATACTGACGAGATGATAAAGTTTCTCCAAATCACACAGCAGTATTGAAAGCTTTAGACACTATTCCTGACTATTTACAATTTAATTTTGCTTTTGAAACACCCCCTTATCCCATTTATATGAACTGGAAAAAACTGTTTTCGAATAACGTCGGCGAAAACAAATACAAACATGTATTAAGATTATTTTGTAAGAAAATAAATTGTATTAAAGTATGTTAAATTTTTTCTTTGTATAATTATAGTAAATACCAAAACAGTATAAATATTAACATTAAATCTTTAGAAACATATTTATTCATGTTGTCGCTGCAATTTGCGTTGCGTTTTAGAATTTTGAAGTTTTTCACTTATGCGCCTCTTTCACTTATGCGCTTTTTCTCTTGGCCCCGTACACCGGTGCATAAGTGAGAGTTCACTGTATATGATTTCAGTCTTTCGTTGGAATATAATAATAAGCGAAATTCGAAATAAGTATGAAGAAATTTGTTAAAAAATAGTCATGCTTAGCAGAGTTTTCGTGGTGTCTTGTTTGATATGCGTGCGTTAGGACAACATACATTTCTTTGAAAAGTTTAGATTAAGTTCTTTTAAGGACTGGTCACACCTTTTTTCTACAGATTTATACTACGCTTTTAAAAACATAAAATGTATTTTTCTAAGTTAATAAAAAAAAAGAAGAAAAGAAACTGCTTAGTTTTGAGTACTATATATTTAGCATAAACCTATTCATTATCTAAATTATGTTTTATTTTCTTATTTTATCAAATGAAATTTCTCATTGCATTCATAAGTACGAAGCATTCATGTTAAACCTTATTTGAAACATAGAATTTTAAAAAATATTATTCGTTGCTTATAAAAATATTTGCTTTTAAGGATTATTTCAATTTTTTTTTTTAAATATTGAATAATTTTTAGCAAAGAGCAATGATTTTTTTTCAAATCAGAAAAAAAAAAACTATCTTTAATTTTATAAATCGAACAAGAAATTGTAATCGCATTGTGCTCAAGAAGACTTGAATCATTTCTTTAGTTTGATTGGATAGAATTAATTTCTCTGCTTGGTGTTCTCAGTGAGATACCAACCAAAATTATTTTAAATTTATATTATTTCATGCATTGAAGATCAGTTTTATATTTTTCGTCGTTTAAAAAAAATTCTTTTCTTTTGTAATTCATTTATTAACCTTTATTTTATAAATTTTTCCTTAAATTAGTATTTTGCTCAATTCCTTTAATTTGAAATAATAAGTTTCTCAATATTTACAAAAGAAAAAAAATGTTTGATAACAAAACTTTTCTATACTAATTTATCATATTTGATATATTTTTTCTAGAATGTCATATTATTTTTTTTATATTTAATTATAATTATTATTTTTACAATCAATATATTTAAAAGAAAAAAAAATTCTCTGTTTTCGTGGTTGAAATGTAAGACCACATGCAGAGAAATAGAATACATTTTAAAGCTTAATGATGTTTCAGTTTGGTTTTTAGTATGCATTGAATGTATACATTCTTGTAATTGTGTCTTGATAGGTGCTATTTTCAGATTTTTTAAAGAATTATTTTACAATAATGAAAGTTGAAGATTTTTCAATTTTTTGAAAGCATTAATTTGACTATTTTAAGGGAAGAAAAATAGTATAATTTATTTATAAAAATTTTTATTAGTGTGGAAATTGAAGATTTTTTAATTTTTGTAAAAGCATTCGACTATTTAATGGAAAGAAATAGTGACTAAACGAAAACTTAATTTATAATAACTGATTTTGATATAATTATTTTTAAAAAAGTACTATCTTACACGATCCTCCTCTCCCCAAATTAGTTTCGACAACACTGATCATTTCCATGTTGTATTTAAACAAATATAAAATAAACAACGGAATTAAATTATTCTACTGCTGTAAAATTTAATAAAAATTAAGTTAGAATCCGCCGATAATCTTTTAAAGTAAAGAAAATGAGAGGATATAGTTTAATTCGCAAATAAAGCACACTTTTATCACAGCTGATTTGAGTAAAAAAATTAATAAGAAAACAACGTTGGTAAACAAGAGCTCTTATCTTTTTCACTGCGTTAGAAAAACAAACTACCATAGATCGTCACTATCGGTATAATTTATGATAAACACTTCCCACAGTTTTTATTTCATAGAGAGTAAAATGTGCCCCAGTGAAATGCATCGCAGGGGGGAGGGTTGTGAACTACATCTATTTCATACCCCGTGAAAAGAGGGAAAGGTATTGCTGTGAACGAGAGCTAGGGGAGGTTGTGTGGGGGAGCAGCGGACAATGGGTGAAGGAGAAGAGGAGAAGTAATAATAATAATAAAAAAAGAAAGACGGCGCATGTGCAGAGGGTTGCGTGGGGATGAGTGCGCAGATGCAGAACAGCGATAGCAAATATGGCGATGAGAAGCTGGCGTCTGTGGTGTGTGCGGTGTGGATAATTTTTCGGTGCTTCGCAAGTCCTAAAGTGTCCAAATGTTGTGTCCACTCAATGACTGAGGATATGGCGGAGTTGGTGGGACGCGAGCGAATCTCACGGGTGGTTGTTGTCTCTGTAGAACAAGATAACAGCACACCTCCTCTTGAAGCGGTGGTCGCGCGGGCTGCCGATTCGGACGACGAGGAAGACGCGGTTGACGACAACGTTGAGCCCTCTGTTAACCTTCTCTCCCGTTCCGACTCGGAAGAGGTAAGCGGTACTATGATTGAAGCGGCCGATTTCAGGGCCCTTTCTGAAGGACCAGCATATGCGAGTTTAAATGGCAGATTGAGTCCTGGATTTTCAACTGCCTCTAGCTATGCTACGTTAACGCCACTACAACCACTGCCTCCTATCTCGACCATGTCAGATAAATTTTCTCACTACGCTCACCACGGGAATGTAACCGGAAATTTTACACTCATGCAAAACAACATGGGACTGAACTTCCAGTATGACAAACTGGGAACTATGAGTGTTATGAACATGAGTCCAACATTAGGAGTAACACATGCCTCTGCCGTTTCCATGCTCGCGGCCAATGGGCTTAGTTCACAGTCCATACCTTCACCTCCATATTCACAAAATGGAATACACACTCCTGAAAAATCTCTCAGCCCCACTGGGTTTGAGTCCTACTCTCATAGGGACCTTGGCTCACCCCAAAGTCCAGCGTTGCACACTCCCACCTCAATGATGCAAACTCTTAATGGCCTTAATGTCCCAAGCAGTCCTCCGCCCCCTGCCCAAATACAAGAACCTAGTCCACCTAGTAAGCCCTCTCCGGGCCCTATGACTGTTCCTGTGGTGAGTTTAGCTCCATCAGCTGCTTTAAATGTTGCCCTATCTTTGGCATCGGCTATACCGGTGCCTGTACATGTGACAGTCCAACCTGCTGTTGCTATTTCGAGTACGACACCTCAGGGACAACAGCAGGTAGTTGTAGCCACTCCTGTGGTTCAGCAGCAGCCACAGCAACAACCACAGCCGCAACAACAGCAGCAACAACAACAACAGCAAGCGCAACCTCAAACTCAGCAACAACCCCAAGTAATAACGACCATTCCCAATAAGACTGTACTTGTTGCAACGGCTGTTTCTCCTTCGTCAGCTAAAAGTAGTGGTGACGAAGTAGAAGAAATTAATACAAAAGAACTAGCACAGAGGATAAGTGCAGAACTGAAACGTTATAGTATCCCTCAAGCAATATTTGCCCAAAGGGTGCTATGTCGATCACAGGGAACTCTTTCAGACTTACTGCGGAATCCCAAACCCTGGAGTAAACTAAAATCAGGAAGAGAAACTTTTCGCAGGATGTATAAATGGCTAGAAGAACCTGAATTCCAAAGGATGTCTGCTCTCAGATTAGCAGGTAATGTACTATTTATAATGCATCATTTTCTAATGTAGATAAGATTATAAATATAATGCTGACTGTTTAGATTAATCTATTTTCAAGCAGAATGAAGATAAAGTTATAATACATTTTTCACAAGTAAGGTTTGTTTAGAAAATGAATAATAAACTATAAATTATGTTTAAAAACTGTGTAGATAAATTTCCATAGGTAGTGCATTATAAAATTATTTAGGAAATGAAATATAGTTTTAAAATATTGTTAAGATAAACTTAGTTTTTACAAGCAATGAATAAAACTGTTTAGAATCTATCCCTTTTTCATGGCAAATGAATAAAACTTCATAAATCTATTTATACATAAAATTATCCAATTTATAAATAATGAAGGTGGAATTAACTATTAAATTCATTCTCCTTTTTTTTTCTTTTGACAAAGAATTATAGTGTTATAAATTTGTTTATAAAAATAAATCTATTTTTAGTTACTTAGAAATTTTAACACTATGCGTAATAATAGAATATTAAAAATAACATTTAAGATAATCTACATTTCTCTTTTGCGTTGAAAGATTTTTAATGATAAATATATTAGTTCAAATTTTACATATTCTTGAAGGGTTTATCTTATTTTTGTAAATAGAGATTCCACATTCTAAAGGTGCCTTAATGACTTCTTCATCTTTTTTGTTTGTTTGTTTTCTTGTTCTTCTATCTTTTATTTTTGAATCAGTTGTAGTTTCTTGTACTGTTTGGTTTTCTTATCGTGAATTTGGCGCTGCATAGCCGTGATCAGTTCGTGTATCGTTACACTGTATACATCAAAGAATCAATTACTTGTTCATAATATTTATTAATAAATTTATTATTTTGTTTTTACTTGTAAGGATTTCTGTTTTTATTTTTAATGAATTCGAAATTTCTTTTAAAAAATGTTAGTTTAAAATTTAATGCTTTTAACAAAAAATGCTTACAGATATTTATACATTTTCTTAACAGTATAGATAAATTATATAGGGAAGATTTACATTACAATAGGTTGTTTCTAATCTTAATAAATATTCCAGAGTCTGACTGATAAACTGAAATAAATCCATATGTGTTTTTACTAAAGGTGTATTTTAATCTGATTAGGATTTATTAAGTGAAAGTGTAAAATTAAGAAATGAGGTTAAAAAATATAAGTAGTTAATATATCTCGCATGTCGAAAAATATTGGTGAACTTATTTAAAGTCAATTATTTAAATTAAATTTCTGTTCTGAAATTATGCTAATAGAAAAAAAAATCTGTTGTTTATATTATATATTATTCATGATAAGTGTCTTCATATGAAAATAAAAATATATTCGTCCTTACATCGTTTTTCCTGCACTTTATTTGGAATATGATTTAAAATTCTAAATAAATTTTGAAATAATTTAAATTTCGTGATTTGCCATAAAGAGACTGTAAAACAGGTTTTTTGACAAGGTTTGTCTTATTGCAGAGAAGCGCGCATACAGTGCCCCCTTTCGTTCTTTCATGGCCTACTGCCTCATCCCACCCGTAGATGATAAATAAAACATAAAGTAGAAAACGTAAATATTCAAGTTATTGACACTTTCATCACTGGATTGTTTTTCTTTTCCTATTGGAAGAATAAGGATCAAATAGACTTATACAATAAATAAGTGATTTATATAAAATTGTTCTTAATAGAATTACATCAATTATAATTATAATTGTAATTATGAAACAATTATAATTATAATTGTTGTTAATAGAATTGCAACAATAGTATAATCTATACAATGATAGACATTAATTTTAATATAGTTTTTAATTATAAAAAATTAATACTATTTTTTAGTTAATTTGATGTTTTGAGTTGAAAATTGTTTTTTGAAGTTTGGTTTAACCCAGATTGGTTAGTTTGAAATATAAATCAGTGATTAATAATTTAGAACTTGCTTTGTATCTAGTTAATAATTGTTTTTTTGTAGTTTAGTTTAACCAGATTGATTTGCAAAAAAAAATATATATATATATATATATAACTCATTATTTATTAATTTAGAATTTTCTTTCTTTCTCGTTATATGTATAGAATATTTCATATAATTTTGAATATTTTTTTTTATTAATTTTAAATTTTTAATGTCATGATTTTAATGATAAAGCATTTATAATTAATTTTTCCTTTAATTTAATTTATTATTATATTATTATTTTTTTGTAGAACTTGTACAATGATGGGAAATAAATATTTTTATATAATTTTGAATGTTATTTTTTAATTATAAAAAATTTATTTCTAAGTATGAAAAAAACTATTTATTTGACTCATGAAATCAGTTCCTAAAGAAATGAAATCGGTTTAGGATCTAGTTAGATCAAAAATTTTATAATCATAACTATATTAAGTTTTATAATACAATCCATTTTTGTAAGAGAAAAAATTAATTTTATTATTTCGCAGCTCTTTTTTTTTCTCTTTTGAATTTTTCTTCTTTTTCTCTATAATTTTCAATTTCATTGAATTACATTTCATTATAAAGTATTAACTGATTTATTGAGTTTAAAATTAGCTTTTACTTTTTTTATTTTTTGCTTTTTCTTCAGGAAAGAATGGATGGATTATTATTATTATGTTGTGATGAATTTAATGATAATACTTCGAAATTTGTTTTCCTTGCAGATGAATATTTTATAAAATTAATATTTATCATAAAAAATTTGTACAGCTATAGGAGATAAATATTTCCATGTAATTTTATATATTATTATTAATCATGTGAAACTAATTAATTGGCTGACTTTAAAATATCAAATTATTTTATCCAGTAATAGGGAAAGCAATTTAATGATATGCCACATCTCCAAATTGTTTAGAAGACTATATAAACACTATAATTTACATATAGGCAATCAGAAGCTTTTGTGTATGGTTCTGTTTTCTATAAATACATAATACCTATAAAGTACATAATATGTATCTGGAAAAAATATTAATGTACAGCTTGATGCAAAAATGCCAGTGGTGGGAAAAATATGGTTTTTCACTATATTGCCCCAAGCTCTTCAAACCCCCAATCTTTAGGATCTGGCTAGATGGGGTGATACTGGGATGATTTCATCTACCCAACCAAAATTTTTTATTTTATTTATCTTAAGATAATTTAAATTATTGCTAATACTATCAAAATTCTAAATTTTTTTAAATATTGGTTACTTTTCTCTGCTTATTATTATTATTATTTTGTTCATTCAAGGTTTATTATTTCAAATAATACTTGAGATGCTGTCTTTTTTTTAAATTTTATTTATTGTTGTTTTTATGTAAATGTTTTTTATAAGTAGCTTCTTTCTCTAATACTTAACTCAGCTGCATAAATTGCTTCTTTTCTTCAACCTAATCGTTACTTACTTCATTAAAATATATGTTTATCTGATTATCTTAAAATTCCAGTTCAAGTTTAACTTGTAGTTGCGTAATAATAAAATTAAGGAAAATATTCATTTAATATACTTTATTGTACTTTTCGATGAAAACAGTAGTAATTGCTTAGCTGTCTGTTCTGATTGGTTGAAACCAAAGAAGATATTTTACTTAAACAAAATAAGTTCCCACTATACAAAGATTTTGTCTAAAACAAAGATACAAAGAATACACTTACACATGTTTTAGTTTCGCTTTTTTAAATACAAAATAATAACCTTTTTATGTAATTTTTTCTCACTTCTCCCATCTTATATTAAATTAGGAGCATCTATAAGCATAAATCTTGTTATTAAACTTTAATCGTTTGGTATTATGTATTCGATTTATGATTCGAATTTATGATAATTGTTTTCTTATTGGATGCATAGAATAACTATCAAATATTTAAAAAAAAAGCGCTCTTAACTACAATTATAAATTTAACCACAATTAATTTATAAAATAAAGGAAAAAGTATTTGTCTTAGTGAGTAATTTCTAAGTAATTGTCTTAGTAAGTAATAAATGGTATGATAATTAAAAAAGTAAAACAAATTAGTTTTATGTTTGGTATATTTATTTATAGTTCTAGGTTTTTCCAAATTAAATCTTTTAAACTGATTCATTAAAAAATAGTTAATTTACTCATCAGCGGCGAATTTAAATTTATTCTTCACTTTGATTTTTTAATTATATCACGGATTATTTTTTCCTTTTATAAATTTTATTCTCGACTGTTAAGTGCGAAACAGGTTTTGCAGTCCTGAATTTCCCTTGAAATTTGCTGGTCAATAAAAATTTCGTTTGCTACGTTGTGAGTATGTGATATGAATATTTTTCTTAGTTTTTTGTGTAAAAAAACTCAAATATTAAAACTCACTTGTAAACTTTGTTATAGACAAAAATGTTCACTTGCCATTTTTATTAGTCATTAAGGTAACTGAAAAAAGGGTGTCATTTTAAAGTCATATAATTAAAAAAAGAAATCATTCTTCTACTATTTTATGTATTTTTCAACTAAAAAAAATGGGAATTAACTTATATATATTTTGTCGATGACTTTAAATAGGGAGGAGAGGTTAAAATTAGGTCAAAAATATTTTGTTTTATTAGTGTTTCAAAACTGAAATATTTATAAGCTTAATATCCTCTGATCTTCATTTTTAACTGTCAATTTTATATTATCTTTTGCAAATTTTACCAGAAATAGAAGCTGATGAGTAAAGAATCAGATGAAAATATTTTAGAAATTATAAACTCAATAAATTTTAAAATATTTTAGAAATTATAAACTCAATAAATTTAAAACACTTCGTTGTACCTGGTCGAGATACATTTTATAAGGGATTTATAGTTAACTTATAAAAATAAAGAACGAGATAAATAATAAAAATGAATTCTTCTAATAATGAAAGAATGATTAAATAAAATTAAGTTGTTAGATTTAGAACGGAAGGACATAATAATGATGGATAAAAGTTGTTCATTAAAGCTATAATAACTTTGACATGGCTAAACATGAGGTATTTACAATAAGTCAATCGAAACCATATAT